AATGTGTTGGATCATGTAAATTTTTGTTTTATCTGTAACTAATTTGTTTTATCTCTAGTTAATTTGTTTTCTGAAAATTTTCCTTGGAACATAATCCGGTAAAACTCTCGTCGGATATTCGCGGAGAGGTCGAGGCTCCCAAAAGTCAAATTTTCAGAGTCCACAGTGGGTTGTCTTTTCGGGCACAATATTTAGTAATTAGAAATTTTGTGGTGGTACTCCTTTGATTTTTGTTGTGCATTAATACAGACTTTTTTAAGGCTAATATTTGCTGCCCACATTTTAATTGCGATGCCTACAGTTTTTTTTTGTTGATAATATACTTTTAGTCATGTTCAATTGCCGAAATGATTGCTAGATTATTTGTGTTAAATATTTTTATTTGTTAAGATATTTGCTGAATCTTCTATTCCAATTGTATGCTATCTTGAACTCACTTTAATTTCATAAGAAAAACACAGAGCCTTATATGGTATTTTGACTTTTATTAGTTGCCTTGAATGATTTTGCAGGCCTATGCATGAAATAACATTTTCAACGGATGACAAGCCAAAGCTTCTTAGTCAGGTACCAGTATAAGATCTGCGTCTTTCATGAATTCATTATAATTTTGAAAAGGTTTTCTTTATACATGTATTGAAGGGAGCCAAGATTAGTTTAAAGCTTCATTATATTCTTCAATTTTTTTTTTCATGCCTGATTATGCTTCAAAGATGATTTAAATTCATATTAATAGAATGTGCTAGAGGGCTAATGCTTCATTTGCGACAGTTTTTTTACTACTACTTGAAGCAGCTTTCTAGTAAAAAATTTTAATTTTTTACTAGAAAACAGCTTTAAGAAGCAATAAAAAAGCTGTCCCAAATGAAGCCTAAGAGGCTTAAATCTAGGTATGAGAGAAGAAAGTGCTTGTGGAAATATGGGACGGAGAGAGAAAATTCAGAAGGAAAAAAAAAAGGAAATCTTGGAGGAAAAGAGAGAAATAGACAGGATCTAAGTGAGGGAAAATGAGCCACCTGTGAATTCAACTGTGTTCCAGTTTTATGCTTCTCATTAACTGATGATACTATTTATGAATTTAAAAGTCTCAAAAGTAATATAGTTTTTAATGCTAATTATTATATGTGCTAAAAAAGATGTTCCAAACATCATAAATTCTTGTTAAAAAAGGAAGTTGATGTTAGATGGAAAGAAATGAGATTAATAGTGCATTATGGTATCTTTGTCGACTTTTTATGATAATTATGGGCTGATTTTAATGAATTGACACCTTAATAAAATGACATTAAGGGTTGGCCGTTCCCCTTAGTAATTAAAAAAAAGCTCCTATGGAAGGTTGAAGGAAGGTGAATCCCAAAAACCTTAATAGCTTTGACTTACTAGTTGGTCGGAGTTGAGATCATATGAAGAGTAGAGTAGGCAAGGGTTGGTTACGAGTTGTTAATTTTGTGCTATATCTTAAGCTATTTATGTATAAAAGTAAGCAAGAGTAGCTAAAATTAAGATTGGTTTTGCTGGATAGTTCACAAAGATGGAATGTAGGGCTGGAGAATTAGTGGCTATAATGAATGGAAGAAAAATTAAAATTCATGTGGAAATGAAGGGGAAAAAATCTAATGAAATTTTTGCTAACGGTTAGTAGAGCTATAATAAAAAAGGCTATGGTCCACTTGGGTAGTTGATGTAGGATGACGTGCATATGCAATGCTAGTGAATTTGAAAATTATACGCTGATGAATAAAACTTTAACAATTCATTAACTTCCCACGAATCTAAGCGAAAGATTAAAGCCAACAAGATAGTGATTAATCTCAGACAATCAATTACATAATAACATTAGGATCACAAAATAATCAAATTAAATCATACCCTGCTAATGTGAGGCTTTAAAAGAGAATCCCTAATTTAACAATTAGAATAGTCACTATAAAGATCCACTCACACACACTCTTGATTTGGGCTATGCGGATAAATCTTCATGATCAAGCGATGCCATGATTGAGGAGGAATAAAAAAGGTATGAAGTAAGAAAAATGGTTTACCGTCCTCGTGTTTCTGATGCTTGTTCGATTATTTGCTAGAACATGGCCATCGATGGTTTGGTGTCGCCACTTGACTCAATCAAAAGGGTTTGATAATTCTTGCTTAGTGGGATCTTCAAGTGGAGGACTAGGTGTTGAGAAGGTGGATGGAGGTGTAGCCGACCAGGGGAGGGGATTTATATTCTCCTTCTTGAGGGAAGAACAAGTTAGGAAGAATAATTGTCCATGGAGAAGGGGGGGGGGGGGTTTGGGGGGGGGGGGGGGGGGGGGGGGTGATGTGGTCAGCCATAGAGAGGGAGAGATAGGTGAGGGTTAACTTTGACTTTGGAGGGTAGAATAAGGCATGGACAACAATTTAGAAGTTCAGAATTTAATTCCAGCAATTAATAAAATTCTGGAATTACTTTCTTGTCTTCGTGGCATGAAAATTAGGACAAGAATAAATTGGGATTGATTAGGATTTAATGGCTGCTTTGAGTGGGGGGAATTTAAATTTGAATGACCCCAAAATAAGGAGGGAGGGGAGGGGAGGGGAGGGGCTGATTGGAGAACTCAAAGTGGAAAGGTTATAATTGTGTAGACAGAGGAAGGGGGCGGCAAGGACTAGGGGAGGTGGAATAATTAGAGGATTTAAAGGAGTTGCCAATTTCAGAATACTAAATGAGAAAAGGAGATTTAGGGCAAATCTCTATTCAAAATTTAAATTATCATGAATGGGGAACTTTCCTAACATAAATCATCTCATTTAAGAATGAAATTTTAGATTTAAGTAAATTAAAATCTGAATTTAAATCTTTTTAAATTTATGATGCGCTAAGTTTGGAAAGTATTGATTACTTGGTTTGCAATTTTGGAGGCCTACTCCCTCAAGCGAGGATAAAAATAGAAAATACATAATAAAAATCAAATATAAATAAATGCTTAGAAATAAAGTGGTATAATCGTAGCCGTAGATCTTCGGCCCCTTCTCTAATAAATTTTCCACGGTCGGATGTCCTCATTTCATGTATATATGGATCATATCTTAGGTGGGACATGTGATACTTATGCCTGGCTGGCTAGGTAGTGTTTTCTTTAAGGCTAATAAACATTGACAATCCAAAATTACATTGGGTGCTCTCTATGATTTGACATTTTTAGGGGTGAAACCAACATCTCTTTTGAGGTGGGCAAAATAGGATTGTGAAATGCATAATCTTATTTTTAAAATAGAAACTTTTTTTTTTTTTTAAATTTGGGCAACTACATTTATTGGAAGTGGACAAAATAGCTAAAATATTTATTTTTCTAAGAAAAAAAATTTTCACCCCTGGGCACCTTGATCCTTGCAACCAAGGATGGCTTTTTGAATATCAAGATTGTAGCCTCACAGAGGAGAAGACGCCCTTAGTGCACTGTGAGTAGGTTCTTTTCTTGCTGCTGAAAAAAGTAGTTCTTCTTGTAGTAATTAACTCTAGATTTGACTCATTTCTCATACTCTCAATTTCTTTACTCTGTTAAGTCTTAACTATTATGGGACAATAAGGTCCAATTCTTCAGTGCTTCAACATTTGTTACTTGGGTTTAAAGATCATTAATTTATTAAAAAAAGGGAGTTAGCTTTAAAGATGTTCCATAAATATAAACCTATAGTATTGGATGCTATAAGCTTGAATGTGATTCATTTTGAGATTTATAGAGTTATAATAGATTTTGGAGTGGTTTAGCTAATAATATTCTAAATAAAGTAGTTAAAGACAATAATGATGGCACTTGCCTGCAAAGAATTATTTTGGTATTAATATTTAAGAATAAAGAAGATTTTTGAGATAATAAAAATTATCAGGGAATCAAATTTGTGATATTTCTAAAGAAGTTATGGTAGAAAGTATTACGAGATTTGCTTATAAAATCACATCAATGTTGTAGAACTATTTTTTTCAGCATGAATGATATATTATCGATGAGTATTTTGTGATAAGGAAATTAATAGTGAATAAAAAATAAGAGTGATGGAAGGATCTTTATATGATCTTTATTGACATTGAAAATGCATATAATAAGTATCACAAGAATTGATTTCAGAAGGTTTCAAGAAGATGTATGTCAAAGGTTTGTCGAAGTTAATAAATATATATTTGAATTAGTCATGATTAGTATCAAGAGTAGCGGTAGAGTGATAAAAGTGTTTTCAGACTCAATAGTATTATATCAGGAAGTAACATTAAGCTTCGTTTGGGACGGCTTTCTTTCTGCTTCCTAAACCAGCTTCCTAGCATAAAAATTAAAATTTTGGTACTAGGAAGTTGCTTTAAGAAGCAATAAGAAAGTTGTCCCAAACGAAGCCTAAGCTAGTATTATATTGGTTATGTAGGTACTTACATAAGAAATTTAAAGCTAGGTACTTCAATGTATGCTATCTATGCATATGATAGCCTGTTTATAAATAATTTGTCTTTTGAAGTGAATGAAAATTTAAAATAATAAAAAAATATTAAAAAAATAGTCTTAGTTTAAGTAACTAAAGTTTGAGTACATAATATGTTAAGCTAATTTTAAATTGATAATTTTTAATTATGATTGCTAGAAGATCAATTTATTCTTTGGTATGATAGATTTATTTATCTTAGTTTTATCATACAATATAAATAAGATATTATTAATGAGGGAATGGAAATAACTTTTAAATGTTAAGAACTAAGAAGTTATTGATTATGGAAAAAATAAGAATGTTAAAATGAATGTTTGGTAAAATTAAAAATAATAGGTTTATAAATAGTTATAGTTAAGGCATGGCGGTAGTAGCATTTATTTGAGATAGGACTATGACTTGGGTGCTTTGCGAATGTATAAAACTGAGAGAAATTTTCATTCTTTCATAATTTCAACGAATTTATTGTAGTTGAGGGGTGTTTATGAAATTTTGAGCTTGAATTTTTTCAAAGCAATGTGATGGATCAAACTTTTTCCATTTTCCAGTTGACTTCTCTTCTTGCTGAGCTTGGCTTAAACATTCAAGAAGCACATGCATTTTCAACAAATGATGGCTTCTCGCTAGATGTCTTTGTTGTTGTTGGTTGGCCATACGAGGTACTCACAAAATTCACTTCAGTACATCATTCCTAACATCTTCTTTTTATTTTATTTTAGAAAGCGTAAGAAAGCACATAATAGTTTCATGTTATGTTCTTTTTTTAGACATGCATTGAACGGTTTGCCTTGGTTCTTACTGCAAAATAAACTCTTTAATTATCAGCTGAGAACAATCGTTATCACATTTTTTTTCTTGAATCAATTGTTATCGGTACTTTCTGGAATCTGAAAAGTTGTTGTGGAGATGAGTATGTTTGCTTTACTAGTGGTGGCAATAAGGTTCAGTTTTTTTTTGCTGTTTTTCATACCAAACTAGTAAACTGAGATGGAGGATTGAGTGTTAGTATAAAGGTTGATTGTTAGTTGTTTTGTAATCAAGTTCAATGAGATTTTTTTTTTTTGTTTGTTTGGTGAATTTTAGGAAACGGAGCAACTTACGACTGCATTGCAGCGGGAAATCCAAAATATGGAGGTAATCTTCTTATTCAAATTGGATGAAGTTCCAAGTTGTAATATTTTTTTATATTCAGAAAAAGAAGCTAACTAAAAAGATATCCATTTGGAAAGGCATGTTATTTTGATCCTTAATTTAGGTTTTGTTTGGGATGGATTTCTTACCTCAACAATAATCTATCATGGTAACTATGATGCTTATGTATGTATGATTTGCTTCCATGACATTTTATTGTAATGTGAGGATAAATAAATGGATATTCTTATATCACTCTATTGTTTGATGGAACTGTTTATTTGATTACCCATATGCTAATTTTCTCATGATTTATATGTTTTTAATAATTCATAGTTTTTGTCAGAGGCAAGCTTGCTTTAAGCCTCATCCATGGTCTCCTATAACAGAAAATATTTTGGCTGGGGAGAGCTCTCATCCTGACCATGTTCAAATACCAACTGATGGAACTGATGTGTGGGAAATAGATTTCGGGATGCTTAAATTCGAGAGCAAATTGGGGTCTGGGTCATACGGCGACCTGTAAGTTGTCATCAGGGAACATATGGAGCAATTCTAGATGATTGACCATATATGATGCTATAACCATTTGTCTAATCCTTGCTTCTGCTTTAGATTTCGGGGAACATACTGTAGTCAGGATGTTGCTATTAAGGTACTAAAGCCTGAGAGAGTAAGCGTGGATATGCAACGTGAATTTGTGCAGGAAGTCTACATCATGAGGTTAGCTAGAAACTCAATGGTTTCCCTTTGTGATTATTTGTCGTGTTGTTCAACCCTTAAAAGCAACATGATTAAAGCTTCGTCTGGGACGGCTTTTTTATTGTTTCTTAACACAGCTTCTTAATTTAAAAATTAAAATTTTTATACTAGAAAGCTGCTTTAAAAATCAATAAGAAAGCTGTCCCAAATGAAGTCTAAATGTGATGAGTAGTATTCACTTTTTGCATATCTTTTGAAACTCTTGATATGTTTTGTCATATTTTACTCAGATGTGTAATTTGATTACCCTGCAATTTGAAATATTTTTTATACTTTTTTTTAAGGTCTCTCTTTTGGGCTATTTTTAGGGATTAAGTGAAACATGTGAGGTGGTAGCCCTATGGAATTACAATACTTCCTGGTTATGCTGAAATATTTATTTGTAACTGGATATGCATTCACAGGGAATTATTCTGTGCGGAGTTCAAACATAGAGAATGTTTCGGATTATTGCATACCCTATTCATAAGCTCTGCGTATTTGTAGATACACAATAAATAAGCAACAAATAATTAGTTGTGAGGATTTGCTACATATTTGCTGCGTATCTACAAATACGCAGAGTATAAGCAGAGCTTAGGCAAAGCATACGCAATGAGTCCAATAATTCAGAAGATCCTCTACGTTCGGACTCCACATATACTAATTTCCCCATTTACTATGCTTATATGAATGCTACTGAGATTCCAATGGGGGTTATTCCTTATTTATTTGTGTAGCTTTGTGACTAATAGGAAGCATTGTTTCCATTAGTTCTGATTATATAACTGGAGTTCTTAATGATGGCAGGAAGGTGCGCCATAGAAATGTTGTTCAGTTTATTGGCGCTTGCACTAAACCACCGAGTTTATGCATTGTTACAGGTATGGAAGTGCGACTAGTTTGAGAAATTCTCAAATTATGCATCTTAATATTACTGATGCTGAGTTGATTTTTAACATCTTCAGAGTTTATGTCTGGGGGAAGTGTATACGACATTCTGCACAAGCAAAAGAGCAGTTTTAAGCTTCCAGCTTTGCTCAGAGTGGCTATTGATGTGTCAAAAGGAATGAACTATTTACATCAAAATAATATAATTCATCGGGACTTGAAAGCTGCTAATCTTTTGATGGATGAAAATGAGGCAAGTAAAAACCTCACTTTATGCCTAGTTTAGTACTGATCATCAAAAATCAATTCCATTTTTTAGGATAGTTTTGGTCTCCATAGTTTTGCGAGTTTTGGTATTTCTGTTTTTCCATATTCCATATTTTTAAGTAATGTAGAAATTTTCACTTACTTCGTGTGATAAAAGATTGATGTTGTTGTTGTATAGAAAACTTCCTTTTTCGAGGTTAAGTAATTTTGTTCCATGTCTTTTACTACTGGATAGGTTGTCAAGGTAGCAGATTTTGGTGTTGCACGTGTGAAGGCCCAAACTGGAGTTATGACAGCAGAAACAGGAACTTACCGATGGATGGCTCCTGAGGTATTTATGTGAAGCTTTAATCAAACTTTAGGCTTCGTTTGGGACGGCTTTCTTACTGCTTCTTAAAACAGCTTTTTAATACAAAAGCTAAAAATTTTGTACTCAAAAGTTGCTTTAAGAAGCAGTAAAAAAGCCATCCCAAACAAAGCCTAAATCTTTAATACTAAAACATGAATGGGTAATGTGTTGAGATTTTATTTACGACCAAATAGCAAAGGCCAACTTGATCTGCTAGAGGGTCCTACTGATTAATCTAATATTAATATTTCATAGTAAATGTATTTGCTAAAACTATGTCACCACCCCTACTTTATAACATATTCCATTCATACATCTAATATGGTTTAGCTGGACTTGTTTAAGTAGACATGATCATGCCTTGATATCCTTGATCATCTTATTTCATAGCTGACTTTTTGTAAGACATGGAAGCAATAAGTGCTTCATCTAAATTAATAAAATACCATAGATACACAAAAAGAAGCAATATGATAATTTTTTCGAGCAAGCCGTTTATCAATAGATCACTTTTGAGTATCAATGTATGGAAAAGTGTTAGACCGGTCCAGCCGGTCCAGGCGGGACCGGTTCACGGGCGGAAATCGCAAAACAACGGAGATTCCGCCTCCTGGCAGAGAACGAGCGGTCGGAGCATTTTAGGAAGGATTTTTGGGGGATTTCAGAGAGAAATTTGAATGTAGGGACTGTTTAGAGAATTCCTTTTGATTTGTATGCATTAAATATATATTTTTCCTAGGGTTTGGGCATCTTGAATTTGGCTGAAATTTGAGATCTCTTAGATTTAGGTTTCTTTGGGCTCTAGCGGCGTCTAGAGATTTGGGAGAGATTGATCCTCCTCTCGAATTGAGGATCAATTGTATCTTTTCTATTATGTTTCATCTATTAGTAAAAATACAAGTCTTTTCTCCACGGTTTTCTCTCCGATTTGCTATTTTTCCACTGTTTCTTGGCTGATTTCCACTGTGGACAGCAATTTGGCATTGGTTCTTCTTGGTTTTGGGTAAGAAACACTTGGAAATCCAAGTGTTTCCTATCAAAAAGTCATTGGATCCTATTAACTAACGTGTTTAGGACATAACCCCAACCTTAATGCATTACATGCTACAATCATATTAGCTGGAATTTGACACTAACATAACACCTCGAGCTCAATTCCCTGTAAGAAAGAAGACAAGTTGAAAAAGATCTATATATTTGAATCTCAATCGATGTTTTTATTTAACTTGTAACGTGCAAAGGTGTACCGTGGATCATTCTGATTGGTCTCTGGACGACGTTTGTCACAATCGATGTTTTTATTTAACTTGTAACATGCAAAGGTGTAACGTGGAGCATTTTGATTGGTCTCTGGACGACGTTTGTCATCTGCGCAGAATAATTAATTCAATCATTGGGTCTTCCTCAAATCTTTAGGATATAAAGCCCAACCCTAATGCATTGCATGCTACAATCATATTAGGCGGAAATTGACACTAACAATAGACCTCAAGCTCAATTCCCTGTAAGAAGACAAATTCAACAAGATCCATAACACGACTATATATTTGAATCTCAATCGATGTTTTTATTTAGTTTGATTGGAAATTTTATCTAGGGCACCCTAGATCTCAAACTAATATTGCTTTCTCTCTTTTGTGAAAGGAAACTCTTAACTTTGGAGGCCTCTAACTTGAATTTTTTTTAGAGGTTTTTGACACAAGAACTTCATACTAATTGGCCTTCATTTCTGTTTGAGAGAAAGACTCCAATAGGATGAGTACTCACAAGTAAAATTTTAATGTCTCATATGAAGCACTTGACAAAAATGAACGAAAAATGAGAATTCATATAATCAAATAATCAAGATAAGATTAATATGGATGCTGATAGTATTAATAATTCTCAATCAATATTACTAGGAAAATAACCATCAATTTGTGATTTCCTAAAGCAGCTTGGATTTATTATACAATAAAGAAATAGATAATGATATGATTTATTGAATTAAAATTATGGCGAATTAGAGATATTTCTTAATCGGAATATGTGATTAGAGAATATCTTGAATGAAACTAAATTTTATAAAATTATAATTGCGTCCAGAATGTAGAATGAAACTGAGTGGGAGCTAAAGAAGTCATTAATGGTATGTTAGTTTTTTTGATAGACCTGATCTGAAATGATATAGCTGCATTGATAATATGTCTAATGGGTGGATTTTGTTGTCATATAGGTCATAGAGCACAAGCCCTATGATCATAAGGCTGATGTCTTCAGTTTTGGAATCGTGCTGTGGGAGCTAATTACGGGGAAGGTAACGTGTTCATGGCTTTCATGTCGATGAAACTTTGGGTTTTTGATTTATTGATTCGGATTACTGTGTCTCAGCTTCCTTATGAGTACCTGACACCTTTGCAAGCAGCAGTTGGTGTGGTTCAGAAGGTATGCTTTTCTTCCCATGTTTTCTTCTTTTTGTTCCTCATTTGGTGTAAAAAAGTTGGATATTTCTTGCATTTACACTAAAAAAATGTTTGAAGTGGTGAGAAAGTCATCCCAAACAAAACTTAAATCAGTTTTTAATTTTAAATTTCGTTTGGGATAATTTTATTACTGTTTTTTAAAGTAATTTTCTAGTATAAAAATTTCTATTTCAAATCATTTATTTTAAAAAACAATAACAAATTTGTTCCAAAGGAAATCTTACTCTTCAATCATTGTCACTGCAGGGTTTGAGACCAACCATTCCAAAGCGTACTTGTCCAAAGCTTGCTCAACTTCTCGAAATGTGCTGGCAACAAGATCCCGTACAAAGACCAAACTTCTCTGAGATTCTGGATTTCCTTCAGCTAATTACCAAAGAGGTTTGAAATCTACTTTTTGGAAATAAAAATTTTCATTAATGATATTAAAATCTACCCTGATGGAAATTGTCAGATATTTTTTATGTAATTTTTTTTTCTAATAAATTATTAGTTCAATATATTTATCCGTATATTTCTAGTTGCCTTGTTTTGCTTGACCTATGGCAATTATTTCTAAGAAAGATTTTCTAAACAGTTGGGAGACGATGAGAACAGAAAAAAGGAGAAAACATCTGGAGGTTTCTTCTCAGCTTTGCGACATCATTAGAAGTTTGAATTCTCTAAATCTTTGAATCTCCTCAAGATCTGTTACATTATTTCTTTAATGATCTGCTCCTAAATTTTTGACTGTTTGTAATCCATTCTCATTAATGCAATTTCATCTTTAAATTCTTTTGAAATATTTTATATAGGACTATAAACAAATAAATGCATTAGATGAACAACTTTATATTTATTTTTATTAGTTTTTTAATATAATCGACAAGTTTGAAAAAAAAAATTTAAAACTCATCATATAAATAATTTAAACATTGGCTTGCTTATTTGTTATATTTGTAAATATGATAATTTATTATAAAACAAATAGTTCACTAAGAACGGGATAATTAAGAAAACAATGTGTTATATCAATGTTTATTAAAATTATTATATCAAATAAATTTAATAATTAAATTATGTTGAAAATATTAATACCAAACATATAATTAATTAGAGAATTGGTAAACAAATTTGAGCAAAATTTTAAAATTAAAATTTGATAATAAAATGAAGAAATATTGCACAAATATAATACTTGGTTCATTTTCTGTTCTGATGTAATTACTATTCCTGTTATTTCTGAGCTATTTTGCTTGTTGCTGAGTAATTTGAGCTGGTTATTTATAAGCGTTGGAAATTTCTACTACACAGTAGTCAATGCTGGAAAGGAATTTGTCAAATAATTTTGTAAAGTTTTTTTAATTATAAGGTTGTAGTTGAAGATATATATCTTTAATGATGTTATAATGATACACATTTATGAAAATTGTTAATATAATAATGTGAAGCAGAAGATTGGGAGATTATAATTAAGATAATATTTCTTATTTTCATTTTATGATTAACATAATATTATATGATTTCATTATCAGTTCAAATTATAAGGTCACTAAGAAATTTTAAGACCATTTACAATAATATATTGCTGTACAAAATTTTAAGATATGAAAAGATGCATATTCTTCACAATATATATGTGCATATAAATTAGAATTCCATCATTTAAAGCTGGTTTCTTATTTAGGGTTCACTTGGGATAGCTTATTTTCTGCTTGGATTTTTTAAATCATAACGATAATTTCATTTCACATAGTTTCTTATAATTATTATTTTTTAAATTATATTAAGAAATTTTTTTGATAGAGCAACTTACAAAAAAAAATTACAATTTTATATACTTAATTATAATATTTTAGTTATATTTAAATATTGAAATAAAAGTTTGCCTAAATTTAATGAACTGAACATAAGCATAAAATTTACCCATTTACTTAAAAATCTGAGCCAACTAAAACTTGCGCTACAAAAAAGAACTGAACATAAACATGAAGACTATATTGAAGAAATTACCAGTGTGAGGCAGATTTGAGAAGCATGAGACTGAGGTTCTTCTCACAGCAACCACGAATCACGAAGCTTCCGCTGAGATATTTCCATGATCTTAGATATAATCAGACTTTACAATCTTTGTAGCAATGTACTGGCTTAGGAAGTTAAATCCACGGAAGTATAGGGCCTCAATTTCCACTCTATGCCCCATTTCAACCATTGCAGTAAGCTCTGCTCTATATTTTTCCTATAAAACAAATATCATAATGTAAAATCTCACGTTTTTTAAACAAATATTTGGTATTTGATTTTAAGTAAATCAATTATAAATTATTTTTGTATGGATTTAGAATAGGCTTGAATGTTTTTCTCTGATGATATTATCTTTTTTTCTCAAATTAAATACTAGGGGTGTCAATTTCGGATCACGAGTCGGGACACTATTCGGGTCAACCCTAACCCGACCTGGTTTTTGCAAACATGTCAGTTTTACGGACCCGAACCAACCCGACATGATCCGAATAACCCTAAACCCTAAACAAAAAATTACTAGTTTCTGGTTCAAAAAACGGGTCAATCTCCGCTTTTCAGGTAAAAAACGGGCCAATCTCAAGTTGTCGGGTCAAAAATGGATTTTCAGGTCAAAATAGGTCAATTTCAGGTCAAATTGTTAACCCGAATCAGACCCGATTTTTAAAACGGGTTGAATTGTTGAACCCAAACCTGATCTGTTTTTTGTTTGGGTTGACCCTAACCTAAAATTTTCGAGTTGGTTTCAAGTCAGATTTTTGGGTCATGTCAAATATTAACGCCCCTACTAAATACAGAAAAGATTTTCTATGTGACATTATCTTTTTTTTTTTTTTTAACAGGGTATCCACCCGCTACCACCCTAGAAATCTCCTGGCCCGCACTTGATTAGGCCCCACTTAAGAGGTTCAACCGCTCGAGGGAATAGAACACGAGTTGGGGGTTCCCAAATATTATCTTTCAATATGATATATTCAAAGTTTCTCAAGAAGACTCGTGTACCTGCAATGTTTTTGATGACAATAAACTTTTAGCTATTTGCAGATCACGTGGTTTCAGATTTATGAATGCTGGCTGAGGTAATATCTGAAGGTCATCTTTGCGTAGCCCAAGCCACTTAATATTGCACGCTGGGAAGTGAGAAGTAACAAGAAAATAGTTGAGTAATCTAATATGTAATTGTTGTTAAGCAAGATTCATCAAGAGGAGCTACTACTTGCCATATCTATAAGACTCCAAGCCCATGGCAATGCTGCCATACTTATAGGTGGATAATATTGCTAATCCGGCTGGATTCCTGCATGAACATTTTATGAATATACAATGCATCTGGAGAAGGTTGGATGATCCGAAGTTCAGAAAGCCTACCAATCTACTAAGCCCAAGATTGGCAGTTCAGAAAAAGTTTGGTTTAGTCGAAATAGGAGAAACCTGCTCGCAATTAATGAAAGTAATGAAGCAGATTAGTGCAGCTCAACAAATATAAAGCATGTGAATGAAGAATAAGAGAGAGAGAGTTTTGAAAAAGTAATAAGCTTGAAATTTTTAATGATTTAAATAGGCATGCAGATTTGGAGAAAAAAATAGAACAATTGAAGTTAGGTTAAAGTGTAAACTAAAGAAACTCCCTAGTTGATGTTTAAAATTGGAGAAATTATTCTGTGCAGATGTCAAATACAATTCTAAACCCGGAGGCGAATCAAGTACAAGCACGTCAGCGATATCGAGCGGTATCAAGCCGCGGTGCACAAAAAAAGGTGTGACATTGCGTATTCAAATTGGTTTCCGGACGACGGTCCGCACGGAATAATATTTCTGCATGTAAATCGGGGCTTCCTTGTAGCCACCTAGAAGCCCACCACCTCTTCCTATTCTATATTTTTTTCACAACAAATTGATCCCACACATAATTATCTCCTCCCTCCAAAATTCAACATAGTGCGAGTATATCCTATCCCCAAGTTGAACAACAACTACTATGAGAATGAGCATTATAATGTGGCTATTGTTAGGATACCAATATTGTTCTGCGATCCTCACTAACGCTATACAACAAATCCTAGAATAAGGTTTCGTTTGGGACGGCTTTTTTACCGCGTCTTAAAGCGGTTTAAGAAGTAGTAAAAAAATCGTCTCAAACGAAACCTAAGTCGTCATTTTTAATGTAGATTAACGCAAACCAGTGAAGGATCAGGATGAACGATTGAAGGGCATTGTTCCTTATCTGCCAAGAAGTAGATGAAGACACCTTCAAGAAGATCATATAAGCGAAGTTCAACAAGGAAATTTGGGATACCCTTAGCATACAAATTATAGGAGTTTATAGATTATATTAATTCTGCACTTTGAACTTGAAGAGTTCATAACGAACCCAATCCTAAGTAGCACATGGGTTCATGGATGAATCCCCAAACTAGTCAGCGGTAGTAAGGATGGGAAATCCTTTAATTCTAATGGAGCATGGGAGGCTTCTTTCGAGGGAAAACATCCTGAAGAGAGGAGCTGACCACATGTTCCAACGACTTTTGTGTGGGATCAATCCTTATTTAAATATGTATTTGCATCTCATCTCCCTTAGTAAATGAAGAATCATAACAGACATTGCAAATAGATTAAAAAAATCTACAATTAAAACTCATTTTTATTCCCGCATTCCTCCCTAGGTTTACAAGGTTAAGAAATTCCATTGTCATTCCACTTGACGAACTAATTTTTTAATTTCAATATACTTACTATCTTACCAGATCTTAGAGAAACTGAGCTTTCAGAATCAGTCTTTCTGTACTTTCAATTGAACATTCTGATATGTTACAGCTTGCAAAGCCGCAAAGTATGAAAACTGACAAAAAAATGGAAGTCAACTTTTATTTTACCTTGTGGCAATGTCTGGATAACCCTTGGCTGTTATTAGAATGCATGGAACCAGATTGAACAGGCAATCTTCAGCTAATCTTTGGAAAATGGCATCCTGAATTGTTAATAATAGTAATCAACTGATAATTTAAAAGCCAGAATGATAATTTAATTTGAAACTTTTATCATGGTAAAATACCTTCTCAACTACAATAATGTATCGAGCATCAGAACGAAATTCCAGTTTGCTTAATAGATTCAAGTCTCCACTAATAGCGTATCCAGCAGGTCCAAGCCCCGAACAATCAACAATATCCCCTTCTTGATTCTAAATACATGTTTATTGCAATAAAAATCACTGTCACAGAATTTACATAAAGAAATTGCAGCTTCTCTTATGCAAACTGATCGAGTTTTCTTTCTCATGAATTTCACTTCCATTTTTTAAGCACCGTGAAGAACATAATTTGGAATGTTAGAACAAGTATATTCATTTTTAAAAAGTGAACAGTATCTTAAGCCAATATTGAGCGAAAATCACCTTTATGGACAAACGCCCAATGATTGTACCTCTACTAGAAGCTATGATCCCAAGACTATTACGAGTGCAACGAAGCAAAGCAACAACGTCTGCATGTGATGAACTGAAATTATGGAAATGAAGGGATCGAAGAAACATACATCAAAGGAATGAACGCAGATGTGACAAACCCTGAACGGCCCTGTTAGCATCTCTCTGTGAAGAAAAATAATTCGGAGAATCACAGAGCAGCTTATAGAAAAGCTCCCTCTGGGTTACCAGCTTTCCCTGACTCAGGATCTGAAAACACATCTCCATGACTTTCCACACTGAGGAAATGTTAAGCTCATCAAACTTCAACGTTCGTTATTTGAAGTAAATTAGAGCTAATTAAACATACCTCTAATGAAGGCCTTAGCATGGCCAGCTCGCAAGAATGACCTACTGAAGAAAGAATGTGAGAGGAAGACGGAGGAAACATCGCTAAGCAGCCCACAGCGAACATCACTGTTACTCGATTTCCTGCAAATCTACGAATGACAGATTGCAGAACTGAACATCAAACTTTAAAGAGGCAACGAGCAAATAACCAATTAGCTAGGACAGATTAAAGAGTGTTAACTTGTCGGAAGTATGGAGAAAATTTTATGCAGTGAAGTGGGAGGGATAAATCTCGATAAAAAACCCTAGCTAAGCTCCATAGAAAATAGCGACCATGTCAATGGTGTGATAAAAATCAAATTAATGGTTAAAGGGTCCTCTAGAACCAATAAAACTAAATGAAGTTCAATCTGATCGTTAGTTCATGTTTCCGGGAGCTGTGATTGAATCGAGATCTCGACCACCATCCAATTCAGAGAGAATCAAGAAGTAGAAAGAAAGAGAGATAGACCAGTGGAAGAGAGGATATTGCAGGCGTTGGAGAAGACAACGCATTGAGAAACTTGATCACGGCCACCTCGATTCTTGCCCGAACCTTGAAGAACATTCAACAGCCCTACGTTAGGGAAGAAAGAGCATAGAGCCCCAAATCATCAAAAAGAGAGAGAGAGAGGAACCTGCGAAGGATCGAGGATTTGGGCAGAGCAGAGGCGCTGATCCGAAGAGAAGAGTGAGGATTTCGGGAAATCGGATTCCATTAAAGGTTTAGCCCGGGACAGCAGTGGCCAGGAGGTATATATAGAAGTTAGAGAGAGAGAGAGAGAGAGAGAGATTTTCGCGCCAATTTGTTGGAAATGAGTTAATTAAATTTGAGCTCAAATTTAAATTTAATTTTATGAGAGTTAGAGAGAACACATTTAGTATGAAAAATAAAAAAATCATTTCAATTTAAATAATTATTATGATTAAATGATAATAACGGAAAAATAAAAGTGAAATTATAAATATAAAAAAACAACTGACATAAATAATTTTGCAATATAAATATTTAAATTTAGATATATTTATATTAATACTTTTAAATAATCATCATTTAAATCTTTATATATTATAATTTTTTTTAAATCAAAATGGATTATCCAGTAGGGTTGGGTCATTCGGGATGCTAGTTCGTCGAGTTTGGTTTCACACTTTTACCCATTTATCAAACGTGTTCGGTTCGTGTTGATTGGATTTGGGTAGACTGCTTGGCATATTATAATATTTTTTTTATTTTTTAATCTCATCAAATTTAATTAGCCAACTCCTATTTGGCTCAATAAATAACTCTTATTTTATTTTGAGGAGCTAATAAATTAAATTTGAATCAAAATAATTTTTCATGAG